TTAAAAAGAAGGTAAAACAGCCCTAGCAGTGGATAGAGCGTGGGCCAATGGACTGAAGGGTCCCTGGTTGGATTCCCGTCAAAGGCACGTACCTTGGTTGCAGGCTCCATCCCCAGCCCTGATCCTGGCATGTGTGGGAGGCAACCAATCGATGTCTCTCACATCAATGTTTCTCTCTTTGTGTCTCTCTCCCTCCCTTCCTCTCTCTCTAAAAGTCAATGGAAAAATATCCTTGGGTGAGGATTAACCAAAAAAAAAAAAATTTAAATTAAAAAAAAAGAAGGTAAAACATTTCACGGGCGCTTAAAAATATGGTCGGCCCAAGACATGCCTGCTGTACCCAATGAGTAAGCTGGCCCTAGGCAAAGCCAGGGTGGCCTGACAGCCTGGCTAGAACCTTACAGCATCTAGGAGGTAGATTCTCGGGGGAGAGAGGATGGGGAGAGGCAGGAAGCAGCTGCACCAGAAGGGCCTGATGACCCAAGGAGTGTGGGCTTTATGGTAGAGGTGGCGGGGAGCTGCTGTGGGGCTGGACTGGAGGATTGACAGTTTGGGGGTGGCACTAGAAGTGGGGAGAACATTGGGATGGCTGTTGCCGCAATATGACATCCAAACTCTCAGAACAACAGTGGAGAGATTTGGGAAGCCAGACAGATTGGGGTGAGGTGGGGGGCAGGGACACGGCTGGGCTTGCCCCTCTGCCCACGCCCCTCGTGGAAAAGGAGAAAACGAGAAGAAACTGGATGTGCCTCCGGGCTTTGGGAAGAACGAGTGGAAGGTCCTTCACCCATAGGACAGCAGGGAGAACCTGTGCATCCTTACAGACCTGAGGGCTCTGCAATGGCTCCTGAGGCATCACAAACCCCTCCCCCTGCTGCTGGAGGTACCTCTCCAAAGCTCCATTCCCATCGGGCCATTTTCCTGCTCCCCATGGCCTGGAGGACAAAACCACCGTCCTCTCCTGGGCATTTCAAGAGTTCAGCATGAGAAACAGCAGGCTGGGTTTTCAACATCCCTTACAAGTAGAACGCTGTTCCAGAATCTCTTTGGCTACATATTTCTCAATCCCTAGTAACTCCACTCCCTTTGACCCCCAACCCCGCCCACTCCCCAACCAGAAACAAAACAAAACAAAAGCTATAGTTACCTTCTAGTGCAAGCACTGCTTCCTCCAGAGCAGACCAGGCCTACATCAAGGACTGGGGCAGTAAATACACTTAGAGGGAGAAGAGCTGCGCTCAGATGACTCTTTGAAAGACAAACCTTTACTTATTCATTCTAAAACATGGATTGAGCACCTACTACGTACTTTTGCACCATGCCAGGCCCTGGGGATACAACAATAAACAAATGAGAAGTGGTTTGCATGGAGATGATATTCTAGTGGGGGGAGACTTGACTGTGTAGGTGGCACTTTCCAAAGATGGTCACATGTTTTCTAGAACTTTGCCTCTTCCTCATCAAAAGGTGTTGTCTAATATCCTTCCCATTCAGTCTAGGCAGACTGGTGACTCATTTGTAGCCAACAGAATGCAGCAGAAGTGATTCTGTGTGACTTCTGAGGCTAGGTCATAAAAGGCAATGCAGCTTCTGCCTTATTAGCTGGGACACATACATGCCTTTGGAGCCTTGAGATGTAGGAAGTCCTACTACCCTGAGACTGCCATGCTGTGAGGTGGCCCTGGTCACATGGAGAGGCCATGCATGTGTGTTCTGGCTGACATCCCAGCTGGGGTCCCAGCCAACAGCCAGCATCAACTGCCAGACATGTGAGTGAGTGAATCTTCAGATGTTTCCAGCCCCTAGCTGTCCAATCACTCCAGCCTTCGAGACTTCCCAGCTGTGGCCCCACACACATCGTGGCATAGAGACAAGCCATCCCACTGTGTTTTGTCCAAATTCCTGACCTACAGAATTATGAGCGTTATAAAATGGTTGTTATTTAAACCACTAAATTTGAGGTGGTTTGCTATGCAGGAATAGCATGAAGAACACTGACAATAAACAAATACATAAGCAAGATAATTTTATATTGTGATGACGGGTCCTCAGGAAAACATACTGCAGCATGATAATTTGGAGGAAAGCCTCCTTAAAACGGGGCGGGGGGGCAAGAAAGGGGTAGGAGGGGGAGGTAGGGGAAATATGGATCAGGAAGGGCCTTTCTGAAGAGACATATGAACTGGAATCTGAGCGAGAAGGAGTCCAGCCACTAAAGCTCTGAGAGAAGAGCCTTTGGGGTAGATGGAACAGCACGTGCAAAGGCCCTGAGCAGGAATGAGCTTGATGTGTTCTGCGAAGGTCAAGAAGGCCAGTGTAACTAGGGGATGTGGGTAAGGAGGAGAGTGGAGGCAATCAAGTTGGAGAGGAGGGCAGAGAGGCAAGTCATTCTGCTCTTCCAGGGGGCTAAGAAGTTGGATTTCAGGCTGAGTGCTGGGAAGCCAGTGGAGGGTATTATAGAGGAGCGACTTGGTCTGGTAAGCGCTTGATAAGAGCTTTGGCTGCCTGGTGGATGACAGCATGTAAGGACAGACAGGGCAAAGGAAGGAAAGACCACTTAAGAGGTTACGGTAGTGGTCGGCGAAACGGGGGATGGATGGTGGCCTGAGAAAGGATGATGGCAGTGAAGACGGGGCTGGTACACAAACTCGGGACACAGGCAGTGACAGGGAAGGGAGGTCGGTCCCGGGCGGAGCCGCGACGTGGGTGAGGACCGGAACCCGGCATCCCTCTGGAATCAGAGGGCGGCTCGGAGCCAGGCGGGCCAGGACAGCGCGTACTGGCGTCCCGAGACTGCCTCGGAGCCAGCCCCTGGCTGCGCGCCCGCCAGGCGTTTCCCGGCAACGACCGCCGCCGCCCGAACATTCCGAACTCGGTGGCCTGGTGACGTCATCGTCACCTTGGAGACAGCGGGTGAGAATGCCCCCCCCCCCGGATTTGGGGGCGGGGCCTGGGCGGGTTGTGCACCGCCTTCGGCGAGGGTGGGGCTGGTAGGGGAGTGGAGTGGCGGGGCCCAGGCGTCGGCTGCAGGTGTGGCAGCAGGTGTGCAGGGGGCTGGGCAAGGCCTCACCCAGCGGCCACAGCTCTCCTCGGTGCAAGCAGCCGCCCACGTGATCACCACCCATCCACACGCCTCTCTGCACTCTTCCCCCTACGCCGCTGCCTCCAGCCATTAGGACGGGCTCTTCTGTCATCTCAGGTCACCGAAGAGATGCCTCCTTCCACCACCCAAACTAAGTAACCGCCAACCTCTTCTCGGGGGCCCACCTTGGTTTTTATTTCCTTCACAGTATCGTCCTCTAAAATTATCTTATCTGGTTATAATACAGTGTCCACCCTCTTTAAACCTAAGTTCCATGAGGTTAATTAGGGATAAATTCTCTATTCTTAGCACCCTGAAGGGGAACCTGGCATGAAGTAGATGCTCAATAAATGTTATTTGGATGATTCAGTGAATTCACTTAATCATTTCATTCATCTGTGTGTTCATTGATTTGGCATTTACAGCAGTGCCTTCTAGGCACTTGTGATGAGCGCTAGAGATACTGAGATGAACAAGACAGGGACTCCACCTGGAGGTGAGAAGAGATATGTTAAAACTAATACTTACAATATTAAAAGTGAACATTTTTTAGTTCCAATGCTAGGCATAGCTCCAAGCACTTAATCAATTCATGTAATCTTCACAACAGTAGCTACTATAATTGTGCCCACTTTACAGATGAGGCCCTGAGAACAGCCACCCTATAAGATGCTGGGCCCTGCAATCAAGTGAGAGTCCACAGAGGACATGGGAGGGAGACCTGTGGCAAGGGGCCCATCGAGATGTGGTATCAGGCTCAGGTGGGTAGATTTGGTATCATACCGCTCCCATACAGCGGTTTCCCACAGGCGACCGCTCCTTCCAGGTCAGAGCTCTACTGCCCTAGGGGAGCCCCCATGTCAGCAGAGCAGGCTACGAGTAGGCTGTGAGGGTATGGAAGGCTGAGCCCTTGGCTGGTGGTGGTAGGACAGGAGCCTGCCTGTTCAACTGAAGCGAAGTGTGGGCAAGTTTCCATGTCACTTTGTAGGGGCAGGATGGGGGGTGGCTGACAATCGTAGCTGTTAAAGCCCCTTCCTACAGAGGGCTCTCTAGGAAATCCAGCAACGAACTCCCACCTCTGCGTTTTCGCACGAGCTCTTCCCTCTGCCTTGCATGCCCCTCCCCTTGATTCTCACATAACTGACATTTTACTATGCAGATCCTAGGTTTTGTGTGTGTGTGTGTGTGTGTGTGTGTGTGTGTTGTTGTTGTTTGTTTTCATTAGAGAGGTCTGTCTTGGCCAAGGCCTCGGCGGCAATCACCTATCAATGTCACATTACTGTATTTGAAGACCTCTACCCCAGAATGGGAGAGTGGCCCAGCCAGTGCGTCGTCCTTCTTCCTGACCCGATGGTTCCTATCCATGGGCTCTGTCTGCTCGTTCTGGAAAGTCAGTACCTTGTGAGCAGGACCATTAGAACTCACCTGCTGCTAGACGGGCCTTGCATGCAGCAGGTATTCAATGCTTTTGGAGAGTGAAAAGGGCCCTCCACCTATTCACTCTGGCTTTCTGGGCCAGGATCTGTCCCTGCCCTAGAACCCCTGCTGTGCACGGCCTCAGCAGGGAGAAGCGGCCCAGCCATCCTGGTCACTGGAGTTCTCCTGGAGGAGGCCCTCCCTCCTTTCCGGGCCTGACTGGGCCACTCTCCCCCTCTGGACCAGGATTCTGGTCAGCTGCCACTCCAGGAGGATGTCCAAGAACCACCAGGAGGGGAGGCCAGAGGTAGAGGGTCAGCAGTGTATGGGTGTGTGTGTGGGCAGGCTTTCCTGGGTCCCAGCCAAGATGGTAGAAGAAGAGGTGGCTTTTCCCAGCCTCCCAGCACTGCTGTTGCCAGGGAAACGGGGCACCTGGAGGCTGTGGCTATCTTCCCCCACAGTGGGGACCCAGGCGCACAAACAGTCAGACACACACAGCGGGGAGAATACAACTTGGGTTTATTCAGACGGTTTCCTTCCCATTTGGGTGCCGAGTGAGGGGCAGTGGGGGTGGGGATGCAGAACCTTTGGTTTCTAGGAACATTACTGATTGGCGACATTGTCTAGGACCTTTGGGCTGCCAGGATGACCCTCTGACCCATGGAGATGGTGACAAAGGGGCTGCAGTGTCTAGTTGGCCCTGTCCTCTCCAGGAATTAAGGCACAGATGGCTGAGAACATTTCGACTCATGATAGAAATAAAGGCTGAGGGTGGCAGGTCACTCAGGGGGCTCTGGCTGGAGCAGCGACATGCAGACTCATGGATGTCAGCGTGCCAGCCAGTCCTGTGTGAGGAGCACATTGTCTGCACATATTACACCCTCCACAAACAGCTGCGAGTCCCCATCCTACTCCTGTGCCCAGCCACTCGGTGGGCCTTTTCCCAATCTTTCTCCTTTTGCAAGAACTGGGCCTATTAATGGAGCTGACGATAGATGCCCTTTCTTCTTGGTCCTGGCATCCTGTGTGCAGGAAGTAGGCACCCATCTCAGTTCCCTGAACAGGTGGGAGGTGGAGGGGCTCACTGGGCTGCAGCCTGGGAGTGGCCGCTGAGCCCGGTGGGGCTGCGCAAGAACTGTTTTAACAAAGGGGAGGCTTGGAGCCCGAGGTGGGGACCTGGGCCCCCGGGGGGCCCTGCCTGCTCTGTGACCATGGTGGAGGATGTGATGAGGGAGTTCTGGCACTGGCCCGCCTCCTTGTACTGCTCAGGCACAGTTCTCATGGCTGCACAGCGCTGGGAGCCCCCAGGCCCAGTCTGGAGCTCCAGAGCGTTCTTCTGCCGCTCTCCGGGCAGGGTGCTGGCGGAGGCAAGGGCAGGCTCGGGCTGTCCGGAGCACTGGGTGACCTCTTTTTCCCCAGCCTTGTCCCAGACACCTTTCTGGTGGAGCAGGGCCTGGCTCACATCCTGGGCCAGGTGTGTGCTTTTCACTGAGACATCTGGGCTGCCCCCAGGGCTGGGAGCCTCTGGAAGCTTCCTTGTGGCTGACTTAATGGAGATGAAGGTTGGGGAGGAGGGTGCATCTCTGCTAGAAGGCAAGACTGGCGGGAGGCCTGAATCTTCTCTCAATGTCTCCAGCTTCCTGGTAGAAGGGGCGTGTGAGACTGCTGGACCTCTGGTCTCCGTGTGACTTTTGACCTTGGCTTGACTCTGGACCTCAGTATGGCATGTAACCTCGGTTTGGCTCTTGATTGCAGTTTGACCCCTGACCTCCTCGCCTGAGCACTTGGGCCTGGCTCTACTGCTGTCCGTGACACTGACCTTGTAGGCACTGTGGTCCCTTGGGGGGCCTTGGGAATAACCCCTGGTGTTAGCCTCAGGCTGGAGGCTAGACATGGAGCTGAGGGCCTTGTGCACAGCTTCCTCGATGTCCAGCAGCCTGGCCAGGGTCTGTTCCTTCAGCTGAGCAACCTCCATGCTGACTCTTGTCAGCTCCCCAAAGGCCTGCTCCACTGAGACCTCAGGCTTATGGGGGGCAGCAGGAGCCTGGAGGGCCCCTTCTAGCTGGGGCACAACCTCAAAGAGTCTCCTCAGGGCCCCCACATCCACGCTGCTCGCAGCCTCCTTCTCCAGGGCTTGCACCTGGCTCAGGAGGCCCTGGAGCTCTTGCTGGCTTCTCTGCTGAGTCTCAGAGCTTTTAGGAGCCTCTTGCTGGAAACCTTCCATCGGCTTTTCTCCTGGGGTGCTGGGACCCTGCTGTGGTGAGGTGGGGTCACTGCTGAGAGCTGAGAGCTTGGCGGGCTCAGGGCTCTGGACATTACTGCCCATAGCCTGACTCTTGGTCGGCCCAGGGGCCATGGTGCTGGGGCCATGCTGAGGGCCAGGCCGAGGCGTGGATGCCTCTGTCTCACCTTGTTTGTATTTTCCTTGGGAGGAGCTGGGAGATAGAGCTGAGGGCTTGGGCAGCCTCTGAGGAGGGGGTATCTGGCTTAGGTGTGCAGGTTTGGGGGGCAGCTGGGGCTTCTTCCTGGGAGGGATGGTGGGCTCCAGTTTTGGGGTCTTTGTCTGTGACTCCCCAGGGCTTCTTTGGCCGGCAGGGCTGCTCTGGGAGTGGAGAAGGGGGTCCTGCAGGGGCTCAGAGGCCTTCGGGCTGGAGTCCTCATCATGGTGGGCTTGGGGTGGGAAGTCAGGTCCTGTCACAGCAGCTGGGAGAGGAGGAGGAGGAACAGAGGCATTATGGGAATGCAGGCTGGCACCTGCAGCCTGAGGCCCAGAGGTCAGAGTGTAATGGGCTAAAGAGGCAGCCTTCAGGGTGGTCTCTGCAGCTTGGAGGCTCCCTGGGCCGACTCCGGCCATGGCTTTCTCTGGAGGCCCCCAGGCTCTCTGTGTGCAGGCCCCAGGTTCTTCCCAGCTTTGCCCAAGACTCTGACCAGGGCATTCCTGGAGTGGGCTGGAAGCCTGGGCCAAGAGGGCAGTCTCCCTGCCCCTTGGTGGGTGTTCCCTCTCAGAGGGCTGAACACCTCCAGGTAGGTCACAGGTCCTCACGGGGTTAGCAGTGTAGATGCCGTCCTGAGCAGTCACCCGCCCCCCAGGCAGCCCAGTGGGCAGTACTTTCTGTTCCCCACTGACCTTTCTGGGGGTTGCTGGGATCCTGGGGTCACCTCCAGCCATAGGCCTGGTGTTGCTTTGAGCAGTCCCAGTGGCAGCGGCCGGAGCTTGCAGACCATCCTGGAAGGGTCTGGAGGCAGCTCCAGGGGCGAGGCCCTGCTTGTGCTTGTTCAGCACTTGCTGGTGCAGGCTTTGGGCCTCCGCTGTCGCCACCCGAAGACTCTGCATGGCGGCCTGGAGGTCTGCTGCCCCAGGCCCTGGTGATGTAGTCGAGGCTCCCTCCGACCTTCTCAAAGCTTCCATCCCTTTCTGCCCAGTGCAACTGTCTTCTTGCTTTTCTTTGCCAGCCAAAAGGCTTGCCTTTGCAATGGTCCGTGGGGGACAAGGGTTGGCCCCTGGGCCTCTCAGGTGCTCTATCTCCATGCTGGGGTCCAGTGGGGGAACATGAATGATGTTCTCAGTTGCAGGCAGCCTCTGGGCCTCCTCGCTGGCTGGCACTGGACCTGGGTCAGCCGGTGGCTCCCACCGCAGGCTGTGCAGGCCGCTCAGGTCTCCTTTGTCTATGCAGCTGGCCAGCAGCTGCACACTGCTCCTCTCGGGGGCCTTGCTGGTGAGCCAGGGCTGCAGGGAGTAGGCAGTCAGTGAGACCAGGCCCTGCTCTGTCTCCTGCATCACCAGCCCAGTCCTTGCCACTGAGGTGCCCAAGCCACAAGCTAGCAACTGCCGGAACTCTAGGTCCAAATCTTCAACATTCCCGTTGGCCCCTGGAAGCCTCATGGGCTTGAGCCTGAGATGGCCCGCGGGGTCCTCCTGAACCAGCAGCCCCTGCTGGTCCACGTCTGGCCGGTTCAGCACTTGGCGGACAATCCTGGGAAGCTCGCCAGATACCAGCTCCTCCTTCCGTATGTGGGGGGTCCCCTGTCCTGGGCCCGGGAGCATGTACTTGGCAAGGCAGAGCTCCCCTGGCCCTCGGGCCTCCATGAGGATGCCTCCATGGTGCAGGATGCCAGGCGTGGCATGCAGAGTCCTCAGGGTCCCCTGGGTTGCAGTCTCCTGCCTCTCGGGCACCGAACCTGACAGGCCCACTGGCTGCTCTTCCTGGAGGCCATCCCCACGGATGCTCTCGGCTGCCAGGGAGCCCATGGGGCAATTCTCAAAGAGCCAGGTGAACTTGTGCACAGAGCCCACAGGGATGGGCTCAGGGATTGCCCTTGACCCCTGGTCTTCCCTCTTGCCTGCGTCCTGGGCCTGGAAAACCTCCTTCTGACGAGAAACCTGCCCTGAAGGAATCTCCACTCGGCTGCAGTATCGCACAGGCCCTCTTCCACAGGGACGGCCTGACGCCTGCAGAGGCTCAGTCTCAAAGACATGTCTGTCTGTCTGTCCTTTTCCAGCCCGGACCTGGCTAACCTGCAGGTGTTGGTCCCTGGAGCCTTCCGGCCTGTCCAGGGGTTGGGGCACGAACATCCAGGTGCAGGACTGTGCCTCGGCCTTAGCTGTGGGATCTGGGACCTCTGACCCCTGCTTCTCTGCCAACTCACTCATTGGGAACGTCTCAAATAACCACCGAATGGTCTGCACGTCACCCTTGAGGGGTGCCTCAGGCTGGGGCCCGGCCTGACTCCTTCCTTCTGCTTCCTGTCGTTCCTGGCGCTCCCGCTGGTGGATTACTTCCAGGGGCTGGGTCTCAAAGAGCCACCGGGCAGTGCGCACGTCTCCAGCCACCACTTCCTGCCGGGTGATGCCCCGCACCACGTCGACGGTACTGGGGTTTCGGCCCAGCTGGTCTAGAGGCTGTGTCTCAAACATCCACCTGTAGCCCTGCACATCACCTCCGACTACTTGCTCTCTGCTGACAGAGGTCAGGGCATGGAGGTGGCCTTTGCCATCCTGCATGGCATACACTGGGGACCCTGTGTCCTGGGACTGCCCAGCAGAATCGGTTCCTTCCACTTCGCTCACATTTCTGGGGGTAGAAGGCTCACCCTGCCCGATGCTGTCCAGGGGAAGGGTCTCAAACAGGTTCTTGAAAGTCTTCACGTCCCCCTTCACCCCCTCCTTCTGGGGGGCAGTTGGAGAGAGGGATAGTGCTGAGAAGCTATCACTGGATAGATGCGCACACATGAGCCCCTCTCCCTTCCCGGGACCCACCCGCTGCAGGTGACCCACTTGGACCTTGTCTCTGGGAGTGTCCAGGGGCTTCATCTCAAATAGCCACAGGGTGGAGCGGACGTCACCAGGGACTACCTCCTCTCTGGGCGGGGCCTCTGCCCCAGCCTCCTCTTCCCCCTTTAGAGTGTCTAGCGCCCGGGTCTCAAACAGATGCCGCTGCTGCTGAACATCTGGACCAGGAGGGAGAAGGTCTGGGGATGGTTGGAAGTCCTTCTCGTCCACCAGGATCTCCCGGATGGCATCCAGGGGCTGTGTCTCAAAGATCCAGCGAGTCGAGCTGACATCCGGCCGGGCCCCCTCCTCCAGGGAGATCCCCCGGATCACCCGCACCTGGCTGGGGTCCCGGTTGATGGCATCCAGAGGTTGGGTCTCGAAGAGCCAACGAGCTGTCCTCACCGCATTGCTTTGGATCTCCTCCCGGCATACGGCCTTGACCTCGTGGATGGCGCCTTCTGCGTCCTGGATGGCACACAGCGGCTCCGTTTGGAACAGCTTCACGGTCTTCTTCACATCGCCTTTCAGCTCCTGGATCTCCGAGCGCAGCTCCAAGGGTCTCTGCTCCTGGATGGAGGGACGGGAGCCCAGGCGGTCCAGCGGCCGAGTCTCAAAGAGCATCCTGGTACCCTGGACATCTCCGCTGGCTGCAGGCTCCTTCACTGTTGCCTCTGGTGCCTCGGCCTGACCCGTCAGCTCAGCCAACGGCTTTGTCTCAAACAGCCGGCGGGCTGCACGAACGTCCGCTCCAGATGGCGGAGGTCCGGCTGGCTCCTGGTCTATGCTGTTGGCAAAGGAGCCTTCCTCAAACTTGCGGGAAGTGGCCTGGACGTCACCGCTGGGCACCGGCTCCTTGGCAGCTGGCTTCTCATGGTCCCCAATGGCGTCCAGCCGCCAGTTCTCGAAGATCCAGCGCATGCACTGGACGTCACCCTCGGTGGGCTCCTCAGAACCCAGGACCTCAGCCAGGTCCTCAGCCACGGCCTCGGCCAGGTTCTTGCGGAGCTCAGGGTGGATGTGCCTGTAGAGGCGGCGGAGCTCGTTGGCTTGACGCTGCTGGTGGAACTTGGAGAAGGACTCCTTGGGTGGTGGCAGCGGCAGATCCTCCAGGGCTGGCGGCGGCGGGAGGGGCAGGTCCTCTGCGGTGGCCATCGGGATGGTGGGTGCGGGGGCCACCTGCGTCTGGGTGTTGGACATCCTTCTGAAGAGAAGGGCAGCGATGAGGATGGGCTGGGGCCTTAGGTGGGAGGGGGGCTGGCTGCTGGGAGAAATGGGAGGGAGCAGGACGCAGGGTCAGCGCAGGGCTGTGGTGACATGGCCTCTCCAGACTTCACTTGGGTCTCACTCTGCCACCTGCATGCTTGGTGTGTTACAAATCTTAAACTTAGGGCATATGGACCCATCTACCAAGGTGGGTCCAGGCTTCCCAAGAATCAATCACCCGAGCAAGCAAGACATTGCTGGCCATGAAGCTCTGTCCTTCAGCCCCACAAAGGGTGTTCAGACCTCCAGCTGGCAAACTGGACAGGCCCCATCCTCACCTTCCTTTACCAAAATCAGTTTTCCCCGGTGGAGTCCCAGGTGAGTGGCCTGAGGAAATCCTGTTTATGGGATCCCAGGGAGAGGCAGGTGCCTGGGTATTTCCCATAGAGAAGAAATTCTCTTCCATAACACCAGAGGGCGCGCTTGCCACTTTCACTGAGAGTCTTGCCCAACTTCTACCTAGGCTTTCAACTCACTGCCCATCCTTTCCCAGGCCCAGGGGTCCCACAGCCCATGTAGAGGCTCACCAGGTATCTCATGGGTAGGCAGAGCCAGATCCTGAGTCCCAGGTAGGGGTTTCTGTGCTATACCCAAGACTCAGAGGTCTGAGCTAGGGGGATCTCGAGGGTCTTCAGGCCCAACCATTCATAATTAAAGAATAGGAAATTGAGGCCCAGAAGGGATCAAATCTTGGTGAATGAATAACAGGAAGTGCTGGCCTGGGGTTCCTGGACCCTTTTGGGGTCTGGCTCCCAAGAGATTAAGAGGGTAGGGGGTGTAAAACTTTCCTATCGGTTGTAGTGCCCCTCTGTTCCCCAGCAGACACCCCTAGGAGAATGAGGGTGACACCTACAGGGGAGGTGGGCAGTGGGACCCTCTGCAGAGACAGCCCTGCCCCTTGCTCATGGAGACTCAGTACCAACTGTGTGCAATGAGCCCGAATCCAGCTCCGTGGTCCTCTCCTTTCTCACCTAGGTCAATCAGGTTTCACCATGGCGTTTCCTCCTCCCAGCTCACCCCTGCCCCCCTCCATGGCCTCCCACCCCTCAAGCTCTTCTCTGGTCTTTGTCCTCTGTGTCTTATCTGTATTGTGACAGGTGTGCTAACAGTCCCCAGAGGCCCGTATGAAAAGAATGAGAAGCATGTGCCCCTCCTACTGCCCCTGACCCATGGCTCTGCTCCACACTCGATGCTAAATATAGCTGAGGTCCTGGCCTCAGCACGGCAGCCATGGGCTCCAGATGGAGGCTCAGGCTCAGCCAGTGGGACCCTGGGGACCTTGGCCCATCTCATCCCCTTATCTTGCCTGGGATCCCTGCCCCTGCCCCCTTAGCTGGTGTCAGGCCCCTGGCCTGCAGGCTGACCAATGCTGGGGCCTGAAACTCTTCATGGACAAAGGGGCATGGGGCTGATTGGAGGTTCAGGGACAGTGGCCACAGGTGGGGGCAAGGTTTCCTCTTCATGGCTATCTCGGGGGGGGGGGGCGGGGACGGAGACCTACTTGCCACCCCCCCACCCCATCTTGTCCACCAAAGTCATCAGAACCCTGAGGAATTCAGACTCTGAAACCTGCCACATGAGTCTCACCACACATTCTGGGGTCTCTGAGTTCTAGTGAGGACCCCCTGCCAAAGGCAAACGGTGCCCGTCCCCACCTCTTCCCCATCCCATCACCACCAGTGTGGCCTGAGCAGATGGCTTGTGCAAGGCTACCACCTCCACCCCCAGGAATCTCCAGAATCCCTGCTATGGTCCCATACGGTTAGAATCACGGAGTCCAGGGATGTCAGCCCTGAAGACCTCCAGAGGTCACTGACGCTGAGGACAAGCTCTGTGTCCAGCTGTTGTGGGTTCAGACAGGGAAACTGAGGCCCAAAGAAGGGAAAGGTGCTGTCCCGGTAGGCTCCGCAAAGCAGTGCAGGGCCTGAAGCAGGTTTCCGGAACCCTTGGCTTTCCCATGCCTGCCCCCGCCTGGAGCTTACGTTTCTAGAAGGCAAGGATGGGGTTTGGGGAGGGCAGAATTCAGAATTGGGACCAGACTTAGTGTGCAGGCTGAGCCCCCAGCAGTGTCCCAGAGCTTGGCCTCCTAGGGCTGGCCAACCCCTCAGGGTGACCCCACCTCTGTTCCCGGTGTGCCCCTCCTTGGCTCAGTCCCTCTACAAGTCTCCACTCTGGCAGACTCAGATCTTGTCTCCCACTTTGTGCTGCTCCCCAGATCTGCCCCCAGGGTGTTCCCCCTGGGCAGGATGATGGCCTGGGGCAGAGTCTAGGTCATATGTGGGGAGCCGGGCACAGGCGAGCCCTGGGGACATTCCTGAGGCCAGATAGCCCAGGACTTCCACCCACAACAGCTGGGCACCAGGCTTGTCTAGCAATGCAGAGTAGGATCCGCTTCCCATCCTCTACCCGCGTGCCCTCCCACCTCTCCTCTCCCCCTTTCCTCCCGACACTGGGCCTTCCTGGGAGGAAGCCCTGAAGCCCAGGGAGCTCCACACCTGTATTTTAAATAGTGCAACTACAGGCCACTTCCTCCTGAATGCCTTTCTGGATTTTTATCAGACTGGCAAGAACTTGTCCCTTCTGTTGGCCCAGGCCTGTGGCCGCCACTCTGAGAGCTCCCATGGGGCTCATGTCAATTCTCCCTTAACTTCCTCATTAAGGGAGGTCCTCATGGAATCTTTATATCAGAGACCCCTCCACTCACTTACATGCAGATATACAGCCCCTCAACCCCTAATGCATGCTGTCCTGAGAGCCATCCCGAGGGTCCAAAGGGGACCCCAGCTGCCCTGAAAGACAAAGGGCAGGCTACTCACCTGCCAGTCCCACTTGGCTGGTGGGTACTTGGGGTCTGTGGCAGGTGCGGCCCAAGGGTCTGTCCTTCCTCTCAAACTTCTAGCTCGGGCCGGTTCTACTCGGCTGGATCTGTGAGGTACCTTCTCGCTGCCCTGGCTCCAGGTCTCTGTCTCCCCTGCCAGACCCAGCAGCTGCCTTTATCTTGCTGGCTGGGGTGGGGGTGGAGGGGAGCGGGCGGGAGAGGCTAAGTTCGGAGTATGAAGTGGTTCAGTTATTTTTAGGGCTTGTGGAAGTCACTCTTCCATCCTGGGGAATCGGTTACATGTCCTTTCTGGAGGGGAGGGGAGGAGCAGTGAGGGCAAAGCTTCATTCATCCAAGTCTGATCTGAGGACGGGGCTCCATGACTCAGCCGCAGGGTGGGGTGCCGGTGTCCCAGACTATTTTGAGAAAATGAATAAGGGGGGGCATCTGACACCTGGACGGACCTGCCCCCTAGCCCTGTGAGCCCCCCATCTCCCTACTGTGGTCTGGCCTCTGACTATTCCTGATGGCTGTTTGTCGGGTGCCTGGAGACTGGAGGCCCCAGGGCAGGCCCGGCCCCTCCTCCTCTGTTCCCTTCTCCCCAACCCCTCTGCTCTAAAGATTCCTCTCTCCATTCATTCCTCCCCAGGCCCCGCCGCTCAGGTCTGCACAGCCCTGAGCACAGCTGGATTCTGGGAAAAGGCATCTGAATTTCCAGGCCTCGGCTCTTTGTGAGGCCCGATTTATCAAAGAATTCCACATATGGGTTCTGTGGTTTTCATGGCAGATTATCTGGGTCCTTGTTTACTTTTGGGCTCTCCCTCTGACTCAGGGCCCAGGTTTTCTGGGAATGGAGGGGAGGGGAAGGGTGGCCGCAGGGAGCTGACTGTGGGGTTATTTCTGACCCTGGAGTCATCAGCTTCTGGTCACAAAGGAGTGGTGGGTCACAGTGGCCCCTTCTTTGCTGCCCAGACAGAGCCTGAGGAGCTTAGCAGAGATCCTGGCATTTAGGTCATGAAGGGGGCAGTGTGGTGAGGGGTGCTGGGGACCATACAGAGCGCAGGCGGAGGTGGCATTCTGACCAGGCTGCATGTCTGAGGCTGTGCAGGTGCCTTCTGCTACCTGGCAGAGCAGGGCCTTCCTTCTGACATGCCCAGTGCCCTCTGGTGCCAGGGAGTGATACCAGGCACTGCTCACTTTTTCCACTGAGTCAACCTCGGTCATGTCGCACTGGCCTGCGGGTGGAGAGAGGGGCAGCCAGGAAACCCTCGCCCAGGTCTCCTGCCCCTTCCTGTTTCCCCTGCTCTTTTCTACCTTTCTGCCTGCTCCCCAGGATCCTGGCTCCCCACCGTCAGGAAAACGTTAATTCCCTTTCAGGCCAGGGCAAGAGGAGCCGTAGGTGTGCCGGGGAGCCTCTGCCCCGGGGATGCCCAAAGTGCCTGCCTGCTCTAGTGGTTTTGAGAATTGAATGAATTAAGACATGAAAAGGTTTTATGAGCGTGCTTAGCACACACGCTAGAGAAAAGCCTGCTACTGTCACCTATGTGTGAAAAGAGAGTGGGTACTGGAAATATTGGGGACCACTCTGTAAATTTAGTACCCGATTGTCTAACCATGATGCTGTACATCTGAAACAGCAATACTGAATGTAAACTGTAATTGAAAAATAATTTTAAAAGAGAAAAACACCCTGTGGAACCCACGTTTGTATTCACCCCAAGTGTGATAACTCCTGGTAGAAGTTTCTCAGGCCTCGATACTAAGAAAGGGGCTTTGCCTGACCCCCACGTTCATTTCCATCTAATTCAACTGCGCTGCTTAATACAGCCCCCACTAGCCACATGCGACTAAACAGGTTAAAATGAAATAAAATTGAAAATCCAGTTCCTTCATCACACTAGGCACATTTTAAGTGTTCCATAGAGAGACACACTTAGTAACTATCACACTGGACAGTGCAACACGTTTCCATCCTTGTGGAAAGTCCTATTGCACAGTACGATTATCTCAAACAGAAGGCATGTCCCTCTTTGCCTTGGCTGTTAGGAAGCTCTGGGCTACACTGTTAGTCTTTTACAAGTAGACTCTGTGGCCTGTATCCTGTGTGATGAGGGTGACCAACTGTCCCTGTTGCCCGTCTCTGAGGGGTTTAGAACAGGGACCTTTCTGCTTTAGAACTGGGGAGGCTCTAAGAAAACCAGGAGGGTTGGGCAACCCACATGCAATGGTCTAATGGTATCACATCATCAAGGTGTCAGTTACAAGGCCCGTAAGGCGTAAGCCAGGCATGACTTATCGGAGTATCTTTGGTGGAGACACCGTGCATCTATCCCTCAAATTTCTGTGGGAACGAAGCTGGAAATAAATAAATGCACTGAGGTCGAATGGCTGTGCTGATGAGAAGGCAGAGGGGACCCGGGGGAGGGAAGGGTGTTGTTTTCCAGAGATCACTGTCCCTCCTTCTGGCCTCCTGCTTCTCGGTCCTGGGGGCCTTCCCCTGCCAGCCCCTCCCTCCAAGTGGGGTTCCACCAAAGTTGGGGATTGTTCAGAAGTTCATGTCTGTCCCCCTGAAGAACTGGCACTTAAACTTGGAGCTCAGGGTGAGTAGCTGGCCACAGACTCACCTGAATTTTTAGGAAAGGCAGGAGTGATTAAGAGCAGACGACCTGTGAGACCGACTAGCTGTGTGAGCCTGGCTAGTTACTTACCCTCTCTGTTTCTCAGTTTCCTCATCTATAAAATGGGAATAATAATTATGCATGTCTCAAACGGTTGTTGTGAGGAATATATATTTATTACACACACATACACGCACGCACACACACACACAGCATTTAGAATAGTGCCTGGTACACTAGCTGAGTAAATTCAGTAAGTTTTCCCCTGGATCCTGGCCACCCCCTTCTCCAGGTCCCAGATCCCAGTGTGTCCTCTGGGTTCTAAGATGAGTGCCCTTCAAGGCGCTGGCTGGAAGTCCTGGCTTCCCTCCAGCCAGGAAGTAGACACTGGTGCCAAGGGACAGCTCTGGCCACGCCAGGCTGGGTCTGTTCCAGGCCTGTAAGAGACAGGCCCACTGAGCCTCTTGATATACTCATCGGAACCCAGAGAAGGGATTTTCTGCTCCAGGTCAGCTCACAGGGCGGACCCGTGGGCAGAAGAGCTCTGCCTCCTCCCACGGGAGGGTTGTGACTGGTGCATGAGAGGCAGCAGAGCTTGGGGTTTGAGTGTGGGATCTGGTGTCAGACTGCCTGAAACCTAATCACCAGCCTGTCTCCCTATTTATATGACCGCTGAGCGTCTTCCAGCTCTCTGCACCCTACGGTCTTCGTTTGGGATCTTCCAGTAGCAACGTGATTTAACTGGGAGGAGAGGAATGTGGTGAGGAGGGATAAGTGAGTTGGGGAGGGAGGAAAAGTAGATGACTTCTGTGGGCAACTGGGGTTCCACCCCCAAGGGACTCTCTGAAAGCTAGTGTAGAACATGCCTGGCCTGGATGAGGAAACTGGGGTGTTTATCCACCAACCCTCACCCGACCAGTTGAGCGCTATTCCCTGGAAACACTAACTCCCCCATACTTCAACCTGCCCCTCAGTGAGAAGGAGGCAAGTGTTTGAGATGCGATGAACTGTGGGTCGTACAGGGAGTGTCCACTGAAGCTGCAGGTAGCCCCTGGAGCCGGGGGAAGGGATATGGGGGCACTGGCAGCATTTGCTACATTAGGTTCTCCCATCTGTGATGATAATGAGTCTGTATCATGTGGTTGCTTTGAAGATTTAGACATGTGCTTTCCAGTTGATCTTAAAATAAGGAGATCATCTTGGTGGGCCTGGCCCCATCAGGTGAAACTTTTAAGAGTGGAGTTTCCTCCAGCTGGTGGCTGAAGAGGACATCAGGAGGATGTGACACCATCACCGATTAGGAATGCAGGCCCCTGGCTGACAACTAGCAAGGTAATGGGTCCTAAACCTAGGAACTGAATTCTGTCACCAACCCAAATGAGCGTGAGAAAGGATTTTGCTTCAGTTTCCAGATGAGGACTCAGCCTCGTTTCAGCCTCTTGATGCCCTGAGCAGAGAACCCAGCCTGCCATGCTGGGCTTCTGACCTTTAGAACTGTGGGCTAATAAATGAGTGTTGTCTGAGTCACTAAATGTGTGGTATCTTGCTAAACTGCAATGGAAAACTAATACAGAATGGAAACTGGAGCAGTTGAAAGAGGGAAGGAGACCATGCTTGCTCACTTACAACAGTCACCCAGTCAGCCAAGAGCTTGGCCTAAGCATTTTCTATCAAGTGGCTAACTTGGAGGTGCTAGGAAGCTATGCTCAGTTCCCCCAGGTCACCACCAGAGAGCCTCAGAGCATCTCAGAATCAAGAAATACGAGGTAGGGAAAGTCAGGGCAGGAAGCACCTGCAGTTCTCCATTTTACACCTGGGGAAACTGAGGCTTGCAACAGAGCTTGGATGACATGGAGCAGTGAAAAGAGCTGGTTTCAGACAATTCTCCTTTGGAACCCCAGTTCCACCACTGCCCAGCTCTACAACCTTGGACAAGTTATGTCAGCTCACTGAGCCTCAGTTTTCCTGTCTATACAATGGGGATGAGTGCTTTGGCCATGAACAGAAGAGGGAAGAGAGTGGGCACAGGCACAGACGTGTAGATGGTGTGACTTGAGTGTAGAGTGGACAGGGAGAGATGATGCTGGTAAATAATTCCTCTGGTCCTCACAGATCTCATGGCCAAATGGGAATCAATATAAGAGTCAGGGTTGTTGTTAAAAAAAACAAATGAATAATCCTTCAGGAAAGCGCCCAGGGAACTCACAGCAGCTTCAGGCAGGAGGCGGGTGCATAGCTCCCAAGGCAGGCAGGAACCGGTGTTGGAATGTTCCCAGTGCCCAGAAGGGGGCAGCACCTCCTCAAGTGACACTTCATCTCGCTAGATCAAGCACATTTCATCCTTTCATGTATTTAATCTAAAAGAATGCTTTGCACAGCTACTATGGGCTGGGCTCTGGACTAAACACCAAAGATAAGATATTCTCCTGGAGCCTACAATTTATTTAAAGAAGCAGGTAACAGAAATAACGGAATTATCCTATCAATAATCCCTCTAAGCTCCAAAGCTTCATTATA